GTGGGACTCGGATGTTCCCCGTGGGATATGGTTGCTCCCCAAGGGACCTTGATGTTCCCCATGGGATGTGAATGTTCCCTGTGGGACCTGGATCTTCCCCATGGGATGCTCCAGCGCTGGGAAAGATCCCAGCACCGGTGGCTGCTGCACCTTGCTTGGCTTTTTCCCACTGTCCCCAAGGAGAAGGTGCTGTCCCCACCTGTGTCCCCCCCAGCTCCTCCTCACCGGGGCCAAACCAGTTCTATCCCAGTGGGAAAAGAGGCACTTTGCAGCGCTTGGATTCGGGAAAGTGGCTGGACTTGGCCCTGCTCCAGCTCTCAGAGCTGCTGCTTTGGCTCAGGCACAGCTACTGTTCCTCCTTGTCCTGCTCCTTTGCCGAGGATCCCTCGGGGGTCTGAGCATCCCTGGGGGGTCAGTGACCCCAGTGGCTGTGTCCCTGCTCCCTCGGCTCATCCCGTGTCCCCTCTTGCTCTGCTTCCCACTCCTGTGGCTCCAGAGCTCTCCACCTTGGGGTGCTGAGCCACAGGTTTCCCACCTGTCTGAGCATCCCAATCCCTCATCTGGCCCCCAGGCAGGATCAGATCCAGGTGCTCCATGGGGAGAGGATTCCTGGAACCACAGTGAGCAGAGCAGATCGGAGCATCCACTGGGAATATCAGGGAGAAGGGGAACCCCCTCCAGCCCGGTGTACACCCGAGGGCTGCCAAGGGCTGGGCTGCAGCCAAGGGGAAAATTGGAGCAGGGAACAAGCTGCAGTGATAACGGAGAGTTGGGAGATGCCAGGAGACAGTGGAGCTGAGCCCTGTGCTGTGGGGGAGAACGGGAGGCTGGGAATTAGCTGGAGGGAGTAGCTGTGTGTGTGTCCATCAGAAAGGCTTGGGAATTCTTGGGAAAACTGCTGCTGAGAGCTCAGCCCTGGGCTCAGCCAGGATTTACACGGAGACACATGGCGAAGAGGCACTGCTGGGGTGGAGCTGTGTCCAGGCAGGATGGACAAGCTGGAACACTGGAGAGGGAATGATAGAGCCACCCCATGGCACAGGGATAACACCTGGTGTGGAGGTGCACAAGATTTGGCACAACCAGGAGCAAGGAGAGAGGCCAAAGTATCATCCAGCGACAAGCCAAAAACGTGGGAAAGCCTGGGATGAGATGGGACAATTTCTATTTCCATGGGAGGAAAATCCCTGAGGTCTGCAACAAAACGAGGGAAGCAGTGGCTCATTCCTGCAGCTCCAGTGATCTCTGCAGCTCCAGGGTTGCTGGGATTTGCTGGATGTGGAGCCCGAGGGTCTGTCTCCCTCCTGTCGCCTTTCTGCGCCGTTCGATGAAATCCATGCAGGAATTTGGGTCAAATCCAGGGAAGGAGCTGCTGCCCTCAGCTGGCTCCATGCTCTGGGAAGGCTCATAGCCAGGGAAGCCACTGGGATGGCTCAGGGGGGTCATTCCAAGCCTGCCCAGACCCACAGTTTGTTCTCCATAGTTCTGTCTGCACAGGGAATTCCTTAAAAAATCTTGGAGTGCTTTTAGTTGACCCCCCCAAGGTGTCTCCAGCCCCCTCAGCTTTTTTGGGGGGGCACAGTGTGGCTGACCCTCATCTCTGCCCTCTCCCAGGTGTCCTGCTCACAGCCTGCCATGCCATGGAGAACACCACAGCAGCCTGGAATGGTGAGTTTTCCAGTGGGAATTGTGGGGTGTTCTCATTGCCAGCCTGCCTGGGATCAGCCAGATGGATCCTCCCAGGTGGGATCCTGCCCCTGCAAGGACTTGATCCCCAAGGGAAAACCAGGAATGGGGCTGTGTGATAGGTGTTGTCCATGCACCTTGTGTGGAGGGGGGCAAAATTCCTGCAAATTCCCAGTGCACGGCCACTGGGAAGTGTGATCCCAATGGGAAGCTGCTGGTGCCTGACACCAGCTCCTGGTGGCACCGGGAGATAAATTGACTCATTCATGGAAGGGGCACAAAGAGCTGTGGCAGCACAGAGCCCTTCAGGCTGTCCTGGGAAGGGCTGTGTGCAGGCAGGAATGGGAAACCCTTTCCTTTGGGGCTGGAAAACCCTTTCATTTGGGGCTGGGAAAACCCTTTCCTTTGGTCTGGAACCACCTCCCTTTTGGGGCTGGGAAAACCTCCTTTTGGGGGCTGGAAACCCTTTCCTTTGGGGCTGGAAAACCCTTTCCTTTGGGGCTGGGAAAACTTCCCTTTTTGGGACTGGGAAAACCTCCCTTTTTGGGACTGGGAAACCCTTCTTTTGGGGCTGGAAACTCTTTCCTTTGGGGCTGGAACCACCTCCCTTTTGGGGCTGGGAGAACCTCCTTTTTGGGACTGGGAAAACCTCCTTTTAGGGGCTGGGAAAACTTCCCTTTGTGTCTGGGAAATGAGATGGTTCAATGGCATTGCTTGGGAAGCATGAAGGGGAATGGTGCTAGGAGTCCTTGGAGCAAATCCCTGTGGCTGGGCAGGCACTGGCACCCTGAGGATTCTGGCAACCCCTTTCCTGATGGATGTGTGCCCAACCTCCTTTTGGGACTGGGAAACTTCCTTTTGGGGCTGGAAAAATGGGATGATTCAATGGCATCATTGGAGAAAGTGATGCCAGGAGGCTTCAGAGCACCCTGAGGATGTTGGCAGTGCCTTTCCCGATGGATTCATGCCCATATGGGGAGCTGGAGGGCAGGGGCTGCTCCGAGGGGACACCACAGGGACAGGGATGGATCGGGAAGGAGGAGGAGGAGGAGGAGGAGGTTGCTGCAATGTGGCCAACAGCTGTGAGTGCCGAGGCTGAACGTGAGCCAGGACAGCCTGGGAATCAGCCCTGGAGCTGACACCATCCCTGCTGGTGCTGGGGGGCTTGGATCCCAGGATGGGGGGCTCAGATCCCAGGATAGGGTGCTTGGATCCCAGGATGGAAGGCTCAGAGCCAAGGATGAGGCACATAGCAGGCACAGATTCAGCTTTGTGGGTGAAATCCCCCCCAAAAAAGGATGTTTTGGTGGGATATTCCAGCTGGAGGCAGGAGTTTGGTCCCTCCTGGGATAGATCCATCCCTAGAGATGGAGGTGTTGGGATTTCCCTGGCAAGGCACAGATTTTGGCAGCGATTCCCACTGGGAACTCCAAACTGCAGCTCCTCACAGATGCTGCCACCAGCTCCAGCACCTCCAAACTTCCCCCATGCCTCTTCCCACTGGAATTTGGGAACAATCCCCTTCCGAGCCATCCTGCTCCATCATTCCTTGCTTAGCCTCCCCATGGACCCGGAAGCATTTCCACATCCATGGGTTTAATTACCCTGTGCTGCCATAAATTCACAGCACAGGAACTTGAGGTGGCTTTGAAACGACAGCGATCGGATGTGCTTTATTCCCGGGATAATCCCGACGCAGGATATTTGTTTCCCGTGGCTGCTGCGGAGGATAATTCAAACCAGCATTGGGATGTAATGGGAAACAGGATCCAGCAAAGCCACTGGATCTGTCGGAGCTGCCACCAGTTCTGACGCTGTTTAACTCTCTCCTCCTCTGCTTTAAGCTCTTTAGGAAATTCCTTGAGGATTATTTTGGTGCTGGGTTAAGTAGGGCCTGTCTGGGCTCCTTTGGGTGCTCTCTATCCCATGTGGGGATCCCAAAAATAAAGCCATCCAGCCCCAAGGCAGAGCTGCTGAGCCTGGGTAGGTGCTGGCTGGGCAGAATTCCCAAAAAACAGTTTTCTCCCTGTTTTTCCCACAGCTCCAGGAGCACCAGTGGCAGCAGCAGTGAGGTCTCACTTCAACGACTGTCCCGACTCCCACAGCCAGTTCTGCTTCCATGGCACCTGCAGGTTCCTGGTGCAGGAGGACAAACCTGCGTGTGTGTAAGTGCTGGGAAAACGTCCAGGATGCAGCTCCTGGTGCATCCTTGGTGTCTTCCCTTTGCTGTGCCGTGGGGATCCCAAAAAAAAACAGGCTGAGCCTGGTTCTGCTCAGCTCCCTGAGTCCTGCACACTCCAGTGTCCATTCCCTGGGTCCCCTCCCTGAGCTGGTTCCAGGGCTGACTCCAATGTCCATTCCCTGTGTCCTTTTTCCCGGGCTGATTTAAAAAAAAACAGGCTGAGCCTGGTTCTGCTCAGCTCCCTGAGTCCTGCACACTCCAGTGTCCATTCCCTGGGTCCCCTCCCTGAGCTGGTTCCAGGGCTGACTCCAATGTCCATTCCCTGTGTCCTTTTTCCCGGGCTGATTTCAGGGCTGACTCCAATGTCCATTCCCTGTGTCCTTTCTCCAAGTGGCTCCTCAGTCCTGGAGTTGACTCCCATACCCATCCTGTGTATTCCTTGTCCAAGTGGGTCCCAGGGCTGACTCTGATGTCCATCCTATATGTCCTTGGGGCTGACTCCAGTGTCCATCCCGTGTGTCCCTGTTCCCAGGGTTGACTCCAGTGTCCATCCCCTGTGTCCCTGTTCCTGGGGCTGCCTCCAAATTCCATCCCCTGTGTCCCTGTTCCCGGGGCTGACTCCAGTGTCCATCCCCTGTGTCCCTGTTCCTGGGGCTGCCTCCAAATTCCATCCCCTGTGTCCCTGTTCCCGGGGCTGACTCCAGTGTCCATCCCCTGTGTCCCTGTTCCTGGGGCTGCCTCCAAATTCCATCCCCTGTGTCCCTGTTCCCGGGGCTGACTCCAGTGTCCATCCCCTGTGTCCCTGTTCCTGGGGCTGCCTCCAAATTCCATCCCCTGTGTCCCTGTTCCCGGGGCTGACTCCAGTGTCCATCCCCTGTGTCCCTGTTCCTGGGGCTGCCTCCAAATTCCATCCCCTGTGTCCCTGTTCCCGGGGCTGACTCCAGTGTCCATCCCCTGTGTCCCTGTTCCTGGGGCTGCCTCCAAATTCCATCCCCTGTGTCCCTGTTCCCGGGGCTGACTCCAGTGTCCATCCCCTGTGTCCCTGTTCCTGGGGCTGCCTCCAAATTCCATCCCCTGTGTCCCTGTTCCCGGGGCTGACTCCAGTGTCCATCCCCTGTGTCCCTGTTCCTGGGGCTGCCTCCAAATTCCATCCCCTGTGTCCCTGTTCCCGGGGCTGACTCCAGTGTCCATCCCCTGTGTCCCTGTTCCTGGGGCTGCCTCCAAATTCCATCCCCTGTGTCCCTGTTCCCGGGGCTGACTCCAGTGTCCATCCCCTGTGTCCCTGTTCCCAGGGCTGACTCCAAATTCCATCCCCTGTGTCCCTGTTCCCGGGGCTGACTCCAGTGTCCATCCCCTGTGTCCCTGTTCCCAGGGCTGACTCCAAATTCCATCCCCTGTGTCCCTGTTCCCGGGGCTGACTCCAGTGTCCATCCCCTGTGTCCCTGTTCCTGGGGCTGCCTCCAAATTCCATCCCCTGTGTCCCTGTTCCCGGGGCTGACTCCAGTGTCCATCCCCTGTGTCCCTGTTCCTGGGGCTGCCTCCAAATTCCATCCCCTGTGTCCCTGTTCCCGGGGCTGACTCCAGTGTCCATCCCCTGTGTCCCTGTTCCTGGGGCTGCCTCCAAATTCCATCCCCTGTTTCCCTGTTCCCGGGGCTGACCGGGTGTCCCTCCGTGTGTCCCTGTTCCCGTGTCTGACCCGTGCCCCGTGCGGCGCAGGTGCCACTCGGGGTACGTGGGCACGCGCTGTGAGCACGCTGACCTCCTGGCCGTGGTGGCAGCCAACCAGAAGAAGCAAACGATCACAGCTCTGGTGGTGGTGGCCGTGGTGGCCTCAGTGCTGCTCATCATCGTCTGCGTCCTCATCCAGTAAGTACCCAGAGCTGGGAGCTTGGCACCCCTGGGTGCCCGAGGAGCATCCCTAGGACCCCCCATTTCACTGCCCCTTCCCTGCCCTTCCAGCTGCTGTCGGCTGCGGAAGCGATGCCCGTGGTGCCGGGAGCCTGGAGGTGGCCAGGAGAAACCAGGGGGGCTCCTGAAGGGTGGCACCTCCTGCTGCCACGCCGAGACAGGTAAGGAGACACCTGAAAGGTGGCACCTGGTGCCATGCTGAGATAGGGAAGGGACTGAGGTCACCTCCTGGTGCCACCCTGAGACAGGGAAGGGACTGGAGATTCCTCCTGGTGCCATCCTGAGACAGAAAAGGGACATGGGGACACCTCCTGGTGCCACCCTGAGACAGGGAAGGGACTGGAGATTCCTCCTGGTGCCATGCCAAGACAGGGAAGGGACTGGAGACAACTTCTGTTGCCACACTGAGACAGGTAAGGGGCAAGGGGACACCTGAAAGGTGGCACCTGGTGCCACCCTGAGACAGGGAAGGGACATGGGGAACTCTTGGTGCCATGCCAAGACAGGGAAGGGACATGGGGAACTCCTGGTGCCATGCCAAAACAGAGAACAGACTGGGGTCACCTCCTGGTGCCACACCGAGACAGGTAAGGGGCGAGGGGACACCTGAAAGGTGGCACCTGGTGCCACCCTGAGACAGGGAAGGGACATGGGGAACTCTTGGTGCCATGCCAAGACAGGGAAGGGACATGGGGAACTCCTGGTGCCATGCCAAAACAGAGAACAGACTGGGGTCACCTCCTGGTGCCACACCGAGACAGGTAAGGGGCGAGGGGACACCTGAAAGGTGGCACCTGGTGCCACCCTGAGACAGGGAAGGGACTGGAGATTCCTCCTGGTGCCAT